CTCACCTGGAAGTAGCGGATGGCAGCTCACCTGGAAGTAGCGGATGGCAGCTCACCTGGAAGTAGCGGATGGCAGCTCACCTGGAAGTAGCGGATGGCAGCTCACCTGGAAGTAGCGGATGGCAGCTCACCTGGAAGTAGCGGATGGCAGCTCACCTGGAAGTAGCGGATGGCAGCTCACCTGGAAGTAGCGGATGGCAGCTCACCTGGAAGTAGCGGATGGCAGCTCACCTGGAAGTAGCGGATGGCAGCTCACCTGGAAGTAGCGGATGGCAGCTCACCTGGAAGTAGCGGATGGCAGCTCACCTGGAAGTAGCGGATGGCAGCTCACCTGGAAGTAGCGGATGGCAGCTCACCTGGAAGTAGCGGATGGCAGCTCACCTGGAAGTAGCGGATGGCAGCTCACCTGGAAGTAGCGGATGGCAGCTCACCTGGAAGTAGAGGATGGCAGCTCACCTGGAAGTAGCGGATGGCAGCTCACCTGGAAGTAGCGGATGGCAGCTCACCTGGAAGTAGCGGATGGCAGCTCACCTGGAAGTAGCGGATGGCAGCTCACCTGGAAGTAGCGGATGGCAGCTCACCTGGAAGTAGCGGATGGCAGCTCACCTGGAAGTAGCGGATGGCAGCTCACCTGGAAGTAGCGGATGGCAGCTCACCTGGAAGTAGCGGATGGCAGCTCACCTGGAAGTAGCGGATGGCAGCTCACCTGGAAGTAGCGGATGGCAGCTCACCTGGAAGTAGCGGATGGCAGCTCACCTGGAAGTAGCGGATGGCAGCTCACCTGGAAGTAGCGGATGGCAGCTCACCTGGAAGTAGCGGATGGCAGCTCACCTGGAAGTAGAGGATGGCAGCTCACCTGGAAGTAGCGGATGGCAGCTCACCTGGAAGTAGCGGATGGCAGCTCACCTGGAAGTAGCGGATGGCAGCTCACCTGGAAGTAGCGGATGGCAGCTCACCTGGAAGTAGCGGATGGCAGCTCACCTGGAAGTAGCGGATGGCAGCTCACCTGGAAGTAGCGGATGGCAGCTCACCTGGAAGTAGCGGATGGCAGCTCACCTGGAAGTAGCGGATGGCAGCTCACCTGGAAGTAGCAGATGGCAGCTCACCTGGAAGTAGCGGATGTCGGAGCGGAAGGTGGGGATGAGCGGGTGCGCGGAGTGGAACACCAGCGACAGCGCACCGGCGAAGTACCCCGTCCCCTCTGCCAGCTGCCTCCCCTGCCTCGCACTCATGGCCTGGTGGAGGGGAAAGGGGGGGAAGGGGAGAGGTGGGGGGAGAGGGGGGTATGTGGTGGAGGTGCCGGGGAACGACCGTTGGAAGCGAGAAGGGGAGAGAGGGGCACAAAACGATGCATGCATGGAGGAATGGACGGACAGGAGGAGTTGTCCGGGTGGGAAATAGTGGCCGTGCCCGGCACGCCCAGCCTCCCTCGCCTGCCCTCTGCCGTTGCTGGCAGCACTGCGCCCACAGGTCTCCTCACTCCCTGCGGGAGATTTTGTGGGCGCAGCGTCAGTGGAAGAGCGCTTTAGAGAATAGCTTCCTCACAAGCAGCCTTCCTGTGAGGCCTCTTGAATCAACTCGCAGTTTCCCCTGACCAGCCTTGGTACAGCGAGGAGGATGGGGTTGCCCATACAGCGAGGAGGATGGGGTTGCCCATACAGCGAGGAGGATGGGGTTGCCCATACAGCGAGGAGGATGGGGTTGCCCTTACAGCGAGGAGGATGGGGTTGCCCTTACAGCGAGGAGGATGGGGTTGCCCTTACAGCGAGGAGGATGGGGTTGCCCTTACAGCGAGGAGGATGGGGTTGCCCATACAGCGAGGAGGATGGGGTTGCCCTTACAGCGAGGAGGATGGGGTTGCCCTTACAGCGAGGAGGATGGGGTTGCCCTTACAGCGAGGAGGATGGGGTTGCCCTTACAGCGAGGAGGATGGGGTTGCCCTTACGCCCAGCAAAGCTCACCTCGTTTCCAAACCTCCTTGCTCATAGCGTGGCACGGAGGCTGTTCAATGCAGGCCGCCAGGACCATCCACCCACCGCCAGGCATGGCGGCACTCCGTGGGTGCCAGCCAGTGAGCCTTCTCATCAAGACGAGCACAGCTTTTGAGGCGAGGTGGTGCCACGGTCATGCGAGGGACGCGGCAGTCGTTCACAGACCACCCGCGCAAGCCACACTCTTGCATACTGCACTGCATGTTGAAAAAATCTCAAGTGTTATCCTCATTACAAAGAGTGTGGGTACATATAGAAGATGAGAAGTTGGGAACTAGGTGGGGTACCGTCAGCATTGTTGGCGGACCAATCAGATTGGGACGCCCAATAATTGCTGTTGTTACAAACAATCGGTGGAGGGGAACCATTATTGGCTCCCCCCGTCAATTGCGGTCGAGTTGGGTTTGGGAGCGCCCAACCAAAATTGGTTGGGTCGCCTGACCCAAAGTGTACACCCACGTTAGGGTGTAAAACTTGCACAAATATAAACATACGTTATGCTATATTCTAACACACTTACCCTCCCACCCACCCAGCCGTGAACCATCCACCTAGTCCCCCCCAAAGCCCTCCCAAGCCCCTCTTGCTCTCCCTACCCCTTACTGCCCACTCTTCTTCTCAAGTCCCCCCATGCTCCGCTCACCTTGGCGCGTGCCGCAGTGAGCTGGCCTCTAACGATGGACACGTTGGCAGCGGCCTTCTCGAGCACGTGGGCGCCCTCCAGCACGCGTGTGATGCCATACCCCGCCCACGGGTTGCCGGGGTCGCGCTCCCACCGCTCCTCCACGAACGCCTTGCCGCTGCCGTCCCGCACTGCTGACTGCCGCCCATAGTGGCGGCGGTGGGGGAAGGGGGGTTTCAGGGGGAGGGAAAGGAGCAATGAGTGCAGAGACGAGAGCGGGATGGCAGGGCAGGTGGCGAGAGTGGCGGCACAGGTGCGAGCAGGTGACGGGGGTTAGGGCCGACGTGACGTGGAGGGGCGAGAGATGGAGGGGCGAGTGGGACGATGGGATGGGCAGACAGAGCGGCTATGGGATGACACATAGGACGTCACCTCACCACATGTCACCGCCTTACCTCACCTCCACACCTGTCGGCACGGCACGGCACGTCACGGCACGGCACGGCACGGCAGCTGACCTGGTGACAGATGGCGGCCTGCAGGTCCAGCAGCAGCTGCTCGAAGCCGCCCTGCGAGAAGGCCGCTGTGTCCGCCGCTTGTGCTGACGCCGCTGCGGGGGAAAGGCAGGGAAGGGGATGGGGGAACGGAGGGGAAGGCGGGGAAGGGGATGGGGGAACGGAGGGGGGAGCGAGGTGTGGAGGGTGGGGCAGGAAGGGGAGGTGCATGCGCTGCTCGCCGGCAGCGCGGTGGCGCCACGCGGGTGGCGGTGGCGCGCGCGATTGCAGCATTGTGAAGGGGGCGCACGGGAGGACGGAGAGGTGGAGGGGAAAGGGGGAAGGAGCGACGGGAGGTCGAACGGAGAGGCAATTGGGGCGGGCAGGATCGGAAGTGTGATGCGTGCGGGCTCACACGAACGGCTAAAGGCATCCGCTGCGCTGCGCCAATGAAGAACCCCCTTTTGGCCCTGTGAACAGTTCACTGGGGATTGCTCTAGGGGGGCGATATCGGAAGGGAACAATAGGTCACATGCTGCCAGCTGCGTCATGCACCTGCCACGTGGCGCTGTTCAACACTAGCGCGTGCGCCAATGCTCCCCCGTCGTGCCGGCAGCAGCCGCGGCTCGCCGCACCGCCGCACGGCGTCGGAGGCGGACCGAGCGGCGCCCATCGCGGAAACGTCGCTCCGTATTTGGCGCGTGCTGCTGCTAGCCGGCAACCGCAACGCGGCGACGCGAGCGACGGTGTGCGATTGCGCGGCCGAGTGCGCAGCGACACCAGTCACGCTCATCGCTGCGGTCGCCGCTGCCGCCGCGACCATGATGAGAGCAGCTGTGACGGCGCTGCTCAGCAACGGCTGGGCAGATAAATGGTTGCAGCAAGGATGACGGAAGAGCTGCGATTAACTACCTAGTGATGCGAGTCGTATACGCCAGAAGGCGCGTCGAACTGAAGACACGAAAGTTAGGGTTGAGGGCGTGTTCAGACTTCCGGGTCAGCGGTGTTTATCGGGTGCACACGAAGTTGGAACCCAGCAGCTTCATGCCCATGTACTGGTTTCCGGATATTCCGAATGACACGAACAACAAAGACCCAGTATGTGGCATTTTGCAGCGAAATAACGATAGCGAAAAGCCAAGACGAAATTTCACGAGGAAACGAAGTTCGGAGAGAACAGGTAGACGTAGCAAAACATTCACTGTTGTGCCAGCCGGGAATCGAACCCGGGTCTGCACCGAGCTGATGGCAGGGTGCTATTCTACCACTAGACCACTGGCACGCTGAACACGCCCTGAATTAGGTTTAAAGTATATAAAGTATGTTAACCAGCGCGAATTCGAGGGAAAGTCTCTCGAGAAAGTCGGATTTCATTCACCCGCACTCGCTACGATGCGCGGCCGACCAGCGAGAGCATGGTAGGCATTCCCGAGAAGCCCATAGCGCGATGAAGATCAGTTAGAGGCGTGCAGCCGTAGAGCGGCATCGACGCGCTGCGAGCATTAGCGACGCTGATATCGACGAGAGGCCGCGTAGCGGCGAGAGCACGCGAGTGGAGTCGCAGCGGATTCAGGCGAAGAGCGTCTTGCGGAGGCGAACAGCGACGGGGGGCGCGGGGCGGGCGGCATGCCCCGTGTGGCGCGAGGTAGCGCACGAGATTAAATCATAGGCGGACTCTTGGCGCGCAGCGGAAAGGGGGAGTGGGAAGGAGGGGAGGGAGGGGCGGCATGCCGCGTCTGTTTGTGGAGGGCTTCTTCCTGTCGTGGCTCGACAGCTACGAGGCCGTGCAGAACGCCGCGCTCACGCTGCTCTACCTGCAGGTAACCTGGTAACCCGCTCCCGTTACAGGGAGGGTCCCATTCCACGTTACTGCCACCACGAGCGAGGAGGCACGATGGCAAGCCGCTCGAGCCCCCGCTGCCTGCTGCTCTTGCGCTTGCGCCCCCCCCCCCCCTCGCCGCTTCCCCGCTTCTTCTCGCCGTTTCCCCCCTCCCATCGCCGCTTTCCCCCTCCCCTCCTGCTTCCCCCTTCTCTATTTCCATCGCCCCATCCCTCCTCCTCGCCGCTTCTACATTCCCCCTCGCCGTCTCCTCTCCACCTGCTCGCCGCGCTCCACCACGCCGCACTCCTCTGTCATTCCTTCGTTCCTCCACCCCCCAGTCGCGCCCTGCGTCCTCCCCAACCCATGCACCATGCACCCCATGCATCCCATGCATGCATGTGCCGGCACGTGTGCATGGGAGCGCATGCACTGGTGGGTGGGAGCGCATGCACTGGTGGGTGGGAGCGCATGCACTGGCGGGTCGCCTCACATGGCACTGGCGGGTGGCCTCACATGGCACTGGCGGGTGGCCTCACATGGCACCACACGGCTTGCTGCGTTTCGAATCCTTCATTACTCCGCAAGAGGCGGGTGGCCTCACATGGCACCCATGCGCCGCTCGCCGCCCCGCGTCCACCCGCGTCATGGGACTGAACTTGTACGCGCCGGACGCCCCCTGCCCTCCTCGACTGCGTGCACGCCATCATACGCCTGCTGGCCCACGGTGGCCCCACCTACACGCCATTGATCGTGCCAACCCCTTCACTCTCCGCCCGCCTCGCCACTGCGCGTCCCCGGCAGGCGTTCATAGGGCTACTGGGCACGGTGGGGCCCACGTACACGGGCGTCATCGTGGCGGACGTGGGCGTGGCGCTCTTCGGCCTGGTGGCCGTGGCCAGCGGGTACCAGGCGCTGGGGCGCACATACGCCGCACTGCTCATGCTCATGCTGCTCCTCGACTCCCTCTGGCTCGCCCTCTTCGCCCCCCACATCTGGTGCCCTCTTCGCCCCCCACATCTGGTGCCCTCTTCGCCCCCCACATCTGGTGCCCTCTTCGCCCCCCACATCTGGTGCCCTCTTCGCCCCCACATCTGGTGCCCTCTTCGCCCCCCACATCTGGTGCCCTCTTCGCCCCCCACATCTGGTGCCCTCTTCGCCCCCCACATCTGGTGCCCTCTTCGCCCCCCACATCTGGTGCCCTCTTCGCCCCCCACATCTGGTGCCCTCTTCGCCCCCCACATCTGGTGCCCTCTTCGCCCCCCACATCTGGTGCCCTCTTCGCCCCCCACATCTGGTGCCCTCTTCGCCCCCCACATCTGGTGCCCTCTTCGCCCCCCACATCTGGTGCCCTCTTCGCCCCCCACATCTGGTGCCCTCTTCGCCCCCCACATCTGGTGCCCTCTTCGCCCCCCACATCTGGTGCCCTCTTCGCCCCCCACATCTGGTGCCCTCTTCGCCCCCCACATCTGGTGCCCTCTTCGCCCCCCACATCTGGTGCCCTCTTCGCCCCCCACATCTGGTGCCCTCTTCGCCCCCCACATCTGGTGCCCTCTTCGCCCCCCACATCTGGTGCCCTCTCCTGCTCACTCGCCCCACCTCCCTACGCCCAGCTGCTCCTCCCTACCCGCACATCTCCTCGTCCTCTCTCCCAGTTCCATCTCTCTGCCAGCCCTCGTTTCTGTACCCGCTGCCACTGGCACGACCCGCAGCGTTCACAACACCTGCACCGCCTCACATGCATGTTCAACTCACTCTGCACCTTACTCCTTGCTTCACCTGCCACCACGCTCTCTCCCCCTCCGCCACACCCTGCATGCCCGCCTCATCATGCTGGACATGCCCTCTCTCACTCGCCTCATCATGCTGGACATGCCCTCTCTCTCTCGCCTCATCATGCTGGACATGCCCTCTCTCTCTCGCCTCATCATGCTGGACATGCCCTCTCTCTCTCGCCTCATCATGCTGGACATGCCCTCTCTCACTCGCCTCATCATGCTGGACATGCCCTCTCTCACTCGCCTCATCATGCTGGACATGCCCTCTCTCACTCGCCTCATCATGCTGGACATGCCCTCTCTCACTCGCCTCATCATGCTGGACATGCCCTCTCTCACTCGCCTCATCATGCTGGACATGCCCTCTCTCTCTCGCCTCATGCTGGACATGCCCTCTCTCACTCGCCTCATCATGCTGGACATGCCCTCTCTCACTCGCCTCATCATGCTGGACATGCCCTCTCTCACTCGCCTCCCCCTACTTTTCCTTTGCCAAATCCCACCCTAACCAACTCCACCGCACCCCACCCCAGCCCACTGCTAGAGTTAGCCCTCAATCTTAACTTTTGTAGTTGAACTTTTAATGTCCTAGTTTAGTGTAGTTTGTAGTTGGATGTACACCCACATCCCAACCTCACCCGAATGTGATGAACTGAAATCTTCAACCCACCAATTGGAAATTTCAGCCGATCTCATTGGGATTTCAGCCGATCTCATTGGGATTTCAGCCGATCTCATTGGGATTTCAGCCGATCTCATTGGGATTTCAGCCGATCTCACTGGGATTTCAGCCGATCTCATTGGGATTTCAGCCGATCTCATTGGGATTGGCCCCAATTCCCACCCCATCCATCCTTGCTCATGTCCAATGTACTGAAGAACCTTGAGCTCATTACCTAATGCATCAATTCTACCACCCACCCCACCCTAATGCTCAGTTCTTACACCCACCCCACCGTGCCTCACCCCACCCCACGGCACGGCACGGCGTGGCACGGCACGGCACCAGGAGCGAGGAGCTGACGGCGCCGTGGAGGCAGCACCCGCTGGTGGCGCTGGCAGTGCTGCTGGAGCTCACGTGCCACTCCCTCACCTTCACGCTGCGCCTCCTCTCCGCCCTGCTCTGGCTTCAGGTCATTGTCGTCTTGCCTTCACCTCATTCCCACATTCCCTTCAGGTCAATTCTCTTGTAGGTTATGAGATTCCTTGGTTTGGGTTTGTGGTTTCGCTTTACCAATTCTCTGTGGTTCAGGTGCTTAGTCCATCGTCTTCAGGTGCTTAGTCCATTGTCTTCAGGTAGTTATTCCTCTCCTCTTGCTTCAGGTGCCTTTCTCATTACTTCCTCGTCAGATACCCGCAGCATTTACCCGTTTAAATATGGTTTTTTGTGAAATGCTGTCCCACGTTGCCTTAGAGATCATTTCACCTCACTGGATGTCACATCCCAACCTTCACCTCACTGGATGTCACATCCCAACCTTCACCTCACTGGATGTCACATCGCAACCTTCACCTCACTGGATGTCACATCGCAACCTTCACCTCACTGGATGTCACATCGCAACCTTCACCTCACTGGATGTCACATCGCAACCTTCACCTCACTGGATGTCACATCCCAGCCTTCACCTCACTGGATGTCACATCCCAGCCTTCACCTCTTTGGATGTCACATCCCAACCTTCACCTCACTGGATGTCACATCCCAACCTTCACCTCACTGGATGTCACATCCCAACCTTCACCTCACTGGATGTCACATCCCAACCTTCACCTCACTGGATGTCACATCCCAACCTTCACCTCACTGGATGTCACATCCCAGCCTTCACCTCACTGGATGTCACATCCCAACCTTCACCTCACTGGATGTCACATCCCAACCTTCACCTCACTGGATGTCACATCCCAACCTTCACCTCACTGGATGTCACATCCCAACCTTCACTGCGCCCTCTCCATTCACCCACTAGCTTCCCGCATTCATCACTCCATTCCGGCCTGTCATCTATGTGCTTATCTGCGCACACAGGAGATTCGAGCCTCTAGTGCAACGCCCTTTCTCCCTCACTCCCTCACTCGCTGCACCCACCCCAACCTTGTCTTCACGCCCCTTGCAGCTGCTGCGCTTGGGCCTGGCACACGCCAGGGAGGGCATCGCATGGCACTGTCGTGTGTTCTTAAGGATTTCCCAGAGCCAACTGGCCCCGTCCCTGCCTCTCCCCTCCTTCACATCCACCAACTCTCGCCTGGGCCTAGCGGATGGCATCGAGGCCATGGCCATGGGCATGGCAAGGCCGTGCCCAAGTCAGAGGTTGTCTAGGATTCTCAAAAGCCAGCGAGACCCGCTCCTGCCCATCCCCCGCATGCAGATGCTGCGCCTGGGCCTGGCGGACAGCAGGGAGGCCACACCCGTGCCCAGCTCAGAGGTGCACGCCTACCTCCCTGCCTACGACAGCCTCGGCCCGTACCGCCCTGCAGGCTCGGCAACGCCGGACCTGAGCCCCACGGCGGGGCGGGAGCGGGCGGTGGGTGATGAGTTCGTGGGCAGCGCCATCTTCCACCCGTCCGCCTTCGCCACGCTCTTCCAGTCCGACACCCTCCTCAACTACCTCTCTGAGGTGCGCTCTTCCAGTCCGACACCCTCCTCAACTACCTCTCTGAGGTGCGCTCTTCCAGTCCGACACCCTCCTCAACTACCTCTCTGAGGTGCGCTCTTCCAGTCCGACACCCTCCTCAACTACCTCTCTGAGGTGCGCTCTTCCAGTCCGACACCCTCCTCAACTACCTCTCTGAGGTGCGCTCTTCCAGTCCGACACCCTCCTCAACTACCTCTCTGAGGTGCGCCCACCTGCTCAACTACCTCTCTGAGGTGCGCCCACCTGCTCAACTACCTCTCTGAGGTGCGCCCACCTGCTCAACTACCTCTCTGAGGTGCGCCCATCTGCTCAACTACCTCTCTGAGGTGCGCCCACCTGCTCAACTACCTCTCTGAAGTGCGCCCACCTCCTCAACTACCTCTCTGAGGTGCGCCGCGCCTCCCCTCTCCCTTCAGTGGTCCTTCATTGATATAAGTATTGGGTACAACGATAGGGCACACTGGTTGAATAAAGATCTCTGGCCACCACTACCCACTCCCACTCACGACCTTCTCCCCTGCCACCCACTCCCTTCTCCTCTCCCTCTCACTCCCTTCTCCTCTCCCACTCACTCCCTTCTCCTCTCCCACTCTCCCTTCTCCTCTCACACCCTCCCTCCTTTCTCACGCTCTCCCGTCTCCCCCACTCATTATCCGCTCCTCTCCCCTTACTCCCTCTCCCCTGTGCGAGTGGGCAGGACGGCAGCAGCAGTGCGCCCAACAGCCTGGACAGCAGCTATGGGGGGCACCCCGTGGTCGCAGGCGCGGAGGACACTGAGGTGCATGGGTGGGAATGGGTGGGATGGGGTGATATGGGGTGACGTAATGTGATATGGGGTGACATGGGGTGATAAGGGGTGATGTGGGGTGACATGATGTGATATGGGGTTATCTGGGGTGATATGGAGTGACATGGAGTGACATGGGGTGATATGGGGTGATATGAGTTGATATTGGTTGTATGGGGCTATATGCGGTGATATGGGTGGCATGGTCTAAAGGCTGTAGATGGGATGAGATGAGGCCATGACGGCACGGAGGCAAGAGCGTTTCGGCTCAAGCGAGTTCAGGAGTGGCCAAGAGGGGTCAAGAGGGTTCAAGAAAGTAGTGCGCCCAGCAGGCTGCCAGAAGCATGATTTGGCTGCAGGGGAGGAGATTGGAAAGGGGATGTGAGGCAAGGAGAGGGCACGAGACGGGGATGTGAGGTGAAGACAGGGCGTGTGACGAGACGGAAGGAAGGAGAGGGGGATGGTCTGATGAGCTGCTCGCCGTGCTCTTCACACTCTTCCCTCCCTCCTCCCTTGCTTCCTTTCATCCATTTATTTTGCACACGCGCAGACACACATGCCTGTACTCACTTTAACTTGTCTTTGGCCCTCAATGCCCCGTCTCTGCCCACAATGCCCCGTCCCTGCCCTCGCTGTGCCGTCCCCCTGCCATCTCCCTGCACTTTCCCCCTGCCATCTCCCTGCCCTTTCCCTCCCCACTCCCTGCCCTTTCGCTGCCTTCTCCGTGCCCTCTCCCTACCCTCCTTGCCGTGTGTGCAGCAACCAGCGCAGTCACCGCAGGAAATTCTGCAGCCTGTTTGAAACTCTTGCTTCCGCTGCCGTTACTGCCTTGAAGCCAAACCACCCTTAGCAGCCTTGCCTGAACAGGGCTTGGCCCCCAGTGGTTCGGGCATGTACAGATAATGACTGTCACCACAGCTGCTCTTACAGCCAATCGCCACATGTGTACTCACAGCTAATACGGCGTGTGGTGAGAGGAGGGACAGTAGAGCAGCGAATGTTCGGGCTCCCCATGTAGGCGAGTATTGAGACGACTATGGCACGTACAGACGAGTGCATGCACCACTCCAGTTGAGCTGCAGGGCCACCCCTCACCGCGAGCACTACCATCCACGTGCGCATGTGTGCTGATTAAGTGAATACGGCGCTCGTCTAGCTTCCTGCTGGCTCAATGCTCTGCCCTGCAGTCTCCCAATCCGCCCTTTCCGAGGGAGGTATTTAGCCTGAATAAAAACCAAGGTATCGTACCATATTGAGCTCACATGAAGCTCTAGGATCGCTTGAGAGAGAGAGATGCCATTTCTTGATCATTGAAGCTCTAATCCTTGTACAAATGGCATTTCTTGATTGAGCAGTCAAACAACAGTACTCAGCTACACTACAACCTACAGACAGGCCCTATCTCATTTTTACTCTGATCCAAGATCTACACAATACGTGGGCGTGTGATGTGCTGTGAGCCCGTTGCTCTTGAGCAGGGCGGCGCTTGTGGCACAACACACCAGGCACATTCAACACACCAGGTACATTCAACACACCAGGTACATTCAACACACCAGGTACATTCAACACACCAGGTACATTCAACACACCAGGTACATTCAACACACCAGGTACGTTCAACACACCAGGTACATTCAACACACCAGGTACATTCAACCACTAAGGTAAGGTGGGCACGCGAGGTAGAGTCAAGAGTGCAAGGGAGAAGGGGGGAAGGATAAATGGTGCTCCATTTCGAATGCTCCACGTGAATTCCTCTGCTCCTCTGCTGTGCTCTGCACCTCGTCCATGCCTGCCATGCCATGTACGCCTTGCCTTGCCCCACACGGGATACTCACCTCCTGCACTCCACCTGCCCCTCTCCACCGTGTGTCGCCCCTCTCCACCGTGTGTCGCCCCTCCCCTTCCCCCCATGGCTTGGCGGCGAGCAGAGGAGGTGCTGCACGCGGTGGCCAGGGGCGTTGACCTCTTTGACTGCACGTCAGTGCCACCCCTCCCGCATGCATGCACCCCCCCCTTGCATGCACCCTCTTCAAACCTTCCATGCATGTCCGTTTCTGCATGTGCCATGCCGTGCCCGCCCTGTGCCATGCACTATCCGCGCCATGGCATCTGACAAACCTCACCCGTGTCCCCCGCGTGCAGGTACCCCCACGACCTCACCCTCCTCGGCCTCGCCTCCACGCTGCCCCTCCACCCGCCCTGGTGGCCGCACACCGTGGCGCCGGGAGAGGGGGAAGGGCAGGGGGGGACGAAAGAGGAGAGGGATGGGGGGGCAGTGGAGGCGAATGGGGTTTTAAGTGAAGTGGGGAAAGAGAAGGAAGGGGAGGAGGTGTACGGGTCGAAGATGAACCTGCGGTGCTCATCGCACAAGTGAGTGCCATTATCACACTACTGTCCCGCCTGGGTAGCTATGCCAGGACCATGCTGTGCCAGGACCATGCTGTGCCAGGACCATGCTGTGCCAGGACCATGCTGTGCTTGCTCCACCATGCTAAACCTGCCTTGCGCCCTCACGCTATGACTTACGCGCAGTCTTCCTTTATTCTTCCCGCCCTCACTTGTCGGCTTCTCCCACCCGCTCCCTCTCACTTCTTCACTACGTGTCTGCCCTCCATCCGCGCACCCCGTCTGTGGGCGCTACCAGGCGCAGTTTCATCCCCATATCGCGCACATGCGCGTGCTACACGTGCACCCGCCACACGCGCGCCTACCTGCACCACCTGCTGGACGCCCATGAGATGCTCGCCCTCGTGCTGCTGGACATGTGAGTGGCTGTGCTGCTGGACATGTGAGTGGCTGTGCTGCTGGACATGTGAGTGGCTGTGCTGCTGGACATGTGAGTGGCTGTGCTGCTGGACATGTGAGTGGCTGTGCTGCTGGACATGTGAGTGGCTGTGCTGCTGGACATGTGAGTGGCTGTGCTGCTGGACATGTGAGTGGCTGTGCTGCTGGACATGTGAGTGGCTGTGCTGCTGGACATGTGAGTGGCTGTGCTGCTGGACATGTGAGTGGCTGTGCTGCTGATGCTGGTGGTTCTCTTTGCTGCATTGTCGCAAAGCGAGGGGTGAGCCGCGAGGGGTGAGCCGCGAGGGGTGAGCTGCGAGGGGTGAGCCGCGAGGGGTGAGCCGCGTGGGGTGAGCGGCGTTGGGTGAGTCGCGTTGGGTGTGCTAGGGGGGGGTGTGCCAGGGGGGGGTGTGCCAGGGGGGGGTGTGCCAGGGGGGGGTGTGCCAGGGGGGGGTGTGCCAGGGGGGGGTGTGGCAGGGGGGGTGTGGCACACGGGAGTGAAGTAGCGCTGCCTGGAGTGCTCATGAATGTACCAGTGTGTCACCACTTCCCCGCTCAATGGCCCACTGGCTGTCCCTGTTCCCACCAACTTGTGCTCTCCTGCTGTTGATTGCGCCACGCACACTCAACAAGTTCGCCCTGCTGCCACTGCGCCTTGCTCTCATGCCTGGCTGCAGTGGTTCTGCAGGGCTGACCCCATGCACGCATCATCCACAGGCTGGTCATTTTTGTCCTCACGGTACACTCTATTCACTGCATGCTGCTGCTTTGCTCTGCGCTCTGCCACCTGCGCCCTTGTTCTGTTGCTTCCTCTTACCCCAACGCAACTCCCTTCAGCCACAACCACCATCACATGCTTCACTTCTTTCAAGTTATTCGGCACGCCATCAGGTTGGGTGTGTTTCAACGGTACAGGGAGTGGTTCGTCCAAGCTAGAGAGGAGGAATCAAAATCAGTACTGCTACAACAGCATGTGCAGAATGCGGCTTAGCGTTGGGCTTGGGCATGTAACATGAGGCATGGATTCGTGAGCAAGTTGGCATCAGAGCTGTTGTTAGCAGACTCAATTCTGTTGATGATGGCCTTCCAGTTGGGTGTTCTGCATAATTCTACGCCAAGCAGAAATTTTATGTTTCGGGGAATAATTCTTGGTGGTGGTCGTTCGTGGACCACCTTCCACCAGCCAATGGGTTGGGTGGAGGGCTCTCTCCTGTGAAGCAACACTTGTTAGAATACCTGACACATTATCACACAATCTTTTCCTTCAGGCAAATATCATTGGTGCTGTTTCGAAATGCCACCCTCTTCAGCTAGTACCGGTTTGCAGAGAGCTGCTTTTACCACTGCACCATTTGTGGCAGCTTGTCAAGAAAATGACGCCTACTAAACAACAAGAACCAGCAAGAGGGCAGCAAAAGAACCTACCGGTATTTAACTAACCACTACTGCACCAATACAGGGTGCGTTGAAACATACAATCCGTTAAAGCTAAGACCACTGCCAGCAGAGAGCAAGCTGTGCACACACGGAGCAACACAGTAAGAGACAAGCGGGGATGGGTTTAATCAGGTCATCATGACGCCAAGGGGCAGGCAAACATGCCGAGTCATGCATGTTGGGTAGCAAAGACAAGGGGCGGGATGATGTGAGCAACAGTAGTGCATGAGGCCAATGTGGAGTTGGTTGGTGGTGGTGGGCATCTGGTCATGCTGTGCGCATCCGTAGATGGGGAAGAGGGGCTGGCTAAATAGGAGTGATTGGATCGGGAGATGGGACTACTGACTGAGGGGGAGATGGGACTACTGACTGAGGGGGAGACGGGGCTACTGACTGAGGGGGAGACGGGGCTACTGACTGAGGTGGAGACGGGGCTACTGACTGAGGTGGAGACGGGGCTACTGACTGAGGGGGAGACGGGGCTACTGACTGAGGGGGAGACGGGGCTACTGACTGAGGGGGAGACGGGGCTACTGACTGAGGTGGAGACGGGGCTACTGACTGAGGGGGAGACGGGGCTACTGACTGAGGGGGAGACGGGGCTACTGACTGAGGGGGAGACGGGGCTACTGACTGAGGGGGAGACGGGGCTACTGACTGAGGGGGAGACGGGGCTACTGACTGAGGGGGAGACGGGGCTACTGACTGAGGGGGAGACGGGGCTACTGACTGAGGTGGAGACGGGGCTACTGACTGAGGTGGAGACGGGGCTACTGACTGAGGGGGAGACGGGGCTACTGACTGAGGGGGAGACGGGGCTACTGACTGAGGTGGAGACGGGGCTACTGACTGAGGGGGAGACGGGGCTACTGACTGAGGGGGAGACGGGGCTACTGACTGAGGTGGAGACGGGGCTACTGACTGAGGGGGAGACGGGGCTACTGACTGAGGTGGAGACGGGGCTACTGACTGTGGGGGAGACGGGGCTACTGACTGAGGTGGAGACTGGGCTACTGACTGAGGGGGAGACGGGGCTACTGACCGAGGGGGAGACGGGGCTACTGACTGAGTGGGAGACGGGGCTACTGACCGAGGGGGAGACGGGGCTACTGACTGAGGGGGAGACGGGGCTACTGACTGAGGGGGAGACGGGGCTACTGACTGAGGGGGAGACGGGGCTACTGACTGAGGTGGAGACGGGGCTACTGACTGAGGGGGAGACGGGGCTACTGACTGAGGGGGAGACGGGGCTACTGACTGAGGGGGAGACGGGGCTACTGACCGAGGGGGAGACGGGGCTACTGACTGAGGGGGAGGCGGGGCTACTGACTGAGGGGGAGACGGGGCTACTGACTGAGGGGGAGACGGGGCTACTGACTGAGGTGGAGACGGGGCTACTGACTGAGGGGGAGACGGGGCTACTGACTGAGGTGGAGACGGGGCTACTGACTGAGGGGGAGACGGGGCTACTGACCGAGGGGGGGACGGGGCTACAGACTGAGGGGGAGGCGGGGCTACTGACTGAGGGGGAGACGGGGCTACTGACTGAGGGGGAGACGGGGCTACTGACTGAGGGGGAGACGGGGCTACTGAGTGAGGTGGAGACGGGGCTACTGACTGAGGTGGAGACGGGGCTACTGACTGAGGGGGAGACGGGGCTACTGACTGAGGTGGAGACGGGGCTACTGACTGAGGGGGAGACGGGGCTACTGACTGAGGGGGAGACGGGGCTACTGACTGAGGGGGAGACGGGGCTACTGACTGAGGGGGAGACGGGGCTACTGACTGAGGGGGAGACGGGGCTACTGACTGAGGTGGAGACGGGGCTACTGACTGAGGGGGAGACGGGGCTACTGACTGAGGGGGAGACGGGGCTACTGACTGAGGGGGAGACGGGGCTACTGACTGAGGTGGAGACGGGGCTACTGACTGTGGGGGAGACTGGGCTACTGACTGAGGTGGAGACTGGGCTACTGACTGAGGGGGAGACGGGGCTACTGAGCGAGGGGGAGACGGGGCTACTGACTGAGGGGGAGACGGGGCTACTGACTGAGGGGGAGACGGGGCTACTGACTGAGGGGGAGACGGGGCTACTGACTGAGGTGGAGACGGGGCTACTGACTGAGGGGGAGACGGGGCTACTGACCGAGGGGGAGACGGGGCTACAGACTGAGGGGGAGGCGGGGCTACTGACTGAGGGGGAGACGGGGCTACTGACTGAGGGGGAGACGGGGCTACTGACTGAGGTGGAGACGGGGCTACTGACTGAGGGGGAGACGGGGCTACTGACTGAGGTGGAGACGGGGCTACTGACTGAGGTGGAGACGGGGCTACTGACTGAGGTGGAGATGGGGCTACTGACTGAGGTGGAGACGGGGCTACTGACTGAGGGGGAGACGGGGCTACTGACTGAGGTGGAGACGGGGCTACTGACTGAGGGGGAGACGGGGCTACTGAGTGAGGTGGAGACGGGGCTACTGACTGAGGTGGAGACGGGGCTACTGAGTGAGGTGGAGACGGGGCTACTGACTGAGGTGGAGACGGGGCTACTGAGTGAGGTGGAGACGGGGCTACTGACTGAGGGGGAGACGGGGCTACTGACTGAGGGGGAGACGGGGCTACTGACTGAGGTGGAGACGGGGCTACTGACTGAGGGGGAGATGGGGCTACTGACTGAGATGGAGACGGGGCTACTGACTGAGGGGGAGACGGGGCTACTGACTGAGGTGGAGACGGGGCTACTGACTGAGGGGGAGACGGGGCTACTGACTGAGGTGGAGACGGGGCTACTGACTGAGGGGGAGACGGGGCTACTGACTGAGGTGGAGACGGGGCTATTGACTGAGGGGGAGACGGGGCTACTGACTGAGGTGGAGACGGGGCTACTGACTGAGGGGGAGACGGGGCTACTGACTGAGGGGGAGAGCAGTGCATGGGTCAGAGGAAGTAGGGCACAGCAGCGCGCGGCGCCATCATGGTGTTGTTCTCCTCCGTCTCCGTGAAGAACTTCACATCTCGCTCTTGGTGGCCCGTGCCGTGCCGTGGGCGTCATGGAGCATGCCGCGGACACACAGGGGGACATGGGATCACCAGCCATGGGAGGCGCGGACCAAGGTGGAGGGGGAATGTGGAGAGGGAACGGGCAAGGGGGAGGTGGTAAAAGGCATGAGGGACATGGAAAGAGAGGCTAGGCTCCAAGGATGCATGGGCACGAGGTGGAGAGATCCAAGAGCTCCCTCCCATGAGCAGTGGAGACAGTGCTTTGGTGACACACGTGGACCACTCAGCGGCGGGCAGGAGGGAGCAGAGCCATTTTGATATGACCCCCTCACCATGTGCCCCACTAACCACACGCCATGCACTGGCGCACGCACTGACCCACGCACTGACCATGTGCTCATCGAAGCTGAGGATGGACGCCACGTTGCCACAGCGATAGCAGTAGTTGGGCGCCGACCACACCTGATGGCCCATGCACGCATGGATGCACGCGCATGGCACACATTCCCATGCAACACATGAGACATACGCAGGCAGGCACACGGAAACACACCCGAGTGAGTGACATAAGCCAAGCCGAGAGTACGAGGACCAAAACATTTTCAAGGCAGAAATGGCATGGCTGCAGGGGCTCTCCTTGAGAGGCGGCATCACGGAATCACACGCGGCAGAGTGAAGGGCAAGGTGAGAGGAGTATGCATACGGTGACGAGGCTTCTGTCGGGGAACATGTACTTGAGCCCCTCCTGCACCAGCTGGTGCGCTCTACAAACCAGCTCCAACCCGTTGATCTGATTGAACTGTGGCCGGGCAGCACAGCCACGGAGGGTAGTACAGGCAGAATCGGTACGGAGGCAGAGATGGCAGCACCACGAGAGGGGAAAACAATGACAGCAGCACGACGAGAGAAAACGTGTTGAGGTGCCGGGCTGCAGCCAAAGAATTTGGAAAAGGTCAGACAAGGAGGGAGAGGCAGGTCACCCTCGCCAGAATGGACACACACAGGCATGAGCGCAGCGCAGCATGCAATGCCCTCGTGTTCAATGCAATGCACTCGTGTTAAATGCAATGCCCTCGTGTTCAATGCAATGCACTCGTGTTCAATGCAATGCACTCGTGTTCCATGCAATGCACTCGTGTTCCATGCAATGCCCTCGTGTTCAATGCAATGCACTCGTGTTCAATGCAATGCACGCGTGTTCCATGCAATGCACTCGTGTTCCATGCAATGCCCTCGTGTTCCATGCAATGCCCTCGTGTTCCATGCAATGCACTCGTGTTCCATGCAATGCACTCGTGTTCCATGCAATGCACTCATGTTCAATGCAATGCACTCGTGTTCCATGCAATACCCTCGTGTTCCATGCAATGCCCTTGTGTTCCATGCAATGCCCTCGTGTTCCATGCAATGCCCTCGTGTTCCATGCAATGCACTCGTGTTCCATGCAATGCACTCGTGTTCCGTGCAATGCACTCGTGTTCAATGCAATGCACTGGTGTTCAATGCAATGCACTCGTGTTCAATGCAATGCACTCGTGTTCCATGCAATACCCTCGTGTTCCATGCAATGCCCTCGTGTTCCATGCAATGCCCTCGTGTTCAATGCAATGCACTCGTGTTTGATGCAATGCACTCGTGTTCAATGCAATGCCCTCGTGTTCAATGCAATGCACTAGTGTTCAATGCAATGCACTCGTGTTCCATGCAATGCACTCGTGTTCAATGCAATGCACTCGTGTTCAATGCCCTCGTGTTCCATGCAATGCCCTCATGTTCGATGCAATGCACTCGTGTTCCATGCAATGCCCCCGTGTTCCATGCAATGCCCTCGTGTTCCATGCAATGCACTCGTGTTCAATGCAATGCCCTCATGTTCCTTGCAATGCCCTCGTGTTCCATGCAATGCACTCGTGTTCAATGCAATGCACTCGTGTTCAATGCAATGCCCTCGTGTTCCATGCAATGCCCTCGTGTTCCATGCAATGCACTCGTGTTCCATGCAATGCACTCGTGTTCCATGCAATGCCCTCCTGTTCCATGCAATGCCCTCGTGTTCCATGCAATGCACTCGTGATCAATGCAATGCACTCGTGTTCAATGCAATGCACTCGTGTTCCATGCAATGCCCTTCTGTTCCATGCAATGCACTCGTGTTTCATGCAATGCACTCGTGTTCCATGCAATGCCCTCGTGTTCCATGCAATGCCCTCTTGTTCGATGCAATGCACTCGTGTTCCATGCAATGCCCTCGTGTTCAATGCAATGCACTCGTGTTCCATGCAATGCCCTCGTGTTCAATACAATGCACTCGTGTTCCATGCAATGCACTCGTGTTCCATGCAATGCACTCGTGTTCCATGCAATGCACTCCTGTTCAATGCAATGCACTCGTGTTCAATGCAATGCACTCGTGTTCAATACAATGCACTCGTGTTCCATGCAATGCACTCGTGTTCCATGCAATGCACTCGTGTTCCATGCAATGCACTCGTGTTCCATGCAATGCACTCGTGTTCCATGCAATGCACTCCTGTTCCATGCAATGCACTCGTGATCAATGCAATGCACTCGTGTTCAATGCAATGCACTCGTGTTCCATGCAATGCCCTTCTGTTCCATGCAATGCACTCGTGTTTCATGCAATGCACTCGTGTTCCATGCAATGCCCTCGTGTTCCATGCAATGCCCTCTTGTTCGATGCAATGCACTCGTGTTCCATGCAATGCCCTCGTGTTCAATGCAATGCACTCGTGTTCCATGCAATGCCCTCGTGTTCCATGCAATGCACTCGTGTTCAATGCAATGCACTCGTGTTCCATGCAATGCCCTCGTGTTCCATGCAATGCCCTCGTGTTCAATGCAATGCACTCGTGTTCCATGCAATGCACTCGTGTTCCATGCAATGCACTCGTGTTCCATGAAATGCACTCGTGTTCCATGCAATGCACTCGTGTTCCATGCAATGCACTCGTGTTCCATGCAATGCCCTCGTGTTCAATGCAATGCCCTCGTGTTCCATGCAATGCACTCGTGTTCAATGCAATGCCCTCGTGTTCCATGCAATGCACTCGTGTTCAATGCAATGCCCTCGTGTTCCATGCAATGCCCTCGTGTTCCATGCAATGCCTTCGTGTTCCATGCAATGCCCTCGTGTTCCATGCAATGCCCTCGTGTTCCATGCAATGCACTCGTGTTCCATGCAATGCACTCGTGTTCCATGCAATGCCCTCGTGTTCCATGCAATGCCCTCGTGTTCCATGCAATGCACTCGTGTTCCATGCAATGCACTCGTGTTCCATGCAATGCACTCATGTTCAATGCAATGCACTCGTGTTCCATGCAATACCCTCGTGTTCCATGCAATGCCCTCGTGTTCCATGCAATGCCCTCGTGTTCCATGCAATGCCCTCGTGTTCCATGCAATGCACTCGTGTTCCATGCAATGCACTCGTGTTCCGTGCAATGCACTCGTGTTCAATGCAATGCACTGGTGTTCAATGCAATGCACTCGTGTTCAATGCAATGCACTCGTGTTCCATGCAATACCCTCGTGTTCCATGCAATGCCCTCGTGTTCCATGCAATGCCCTCGTGTTCAATGCAATGCCCTCGTGTTCCATGCAATGCCCTCGTGTTCAATGCAATGCACTCGTGTTTGATGCAATGCACTCGTGTTCAATGCAATGCCCTCGTGTTCAATGCAATGCCCTCGTGTTCAATGCAATGCACTCGTGTTCCATGCAACGCACTCGTGTTCAATGCAATGCACTCGTGTTCAATGCCCTCGTGTTCCATGCAATGCCCTCATGTTCGATGCAATGCACTCGTGTTCCATGCAATGCCCTCGTGTTCCATGCAATGCCCTCGTGTTCCATGCAATGCACTCGTGTTCAATGCAATGCCCTCATGTTCCTTGCAATGCCCTCGTGTTCCATGCAATGCACTCGTGTTCAATGCAATGCACTCGTGTTCAATGCAATGCCCTCGTGTTCCATGCAATGCCCTCGTGTTCCATGCAATGCACTCGTGTTCCATGCAATGCCCTCGTGTTCCATGCAATGCCCTCCTGTTCCATGCAATGCCCTCGTGTTCCATGCAATGCCCTCCTGTTCCATGCAATGCCCTCGTGTTCCATGCAATGCCCTCGTGTTCCATGCAATGCCCTCCTGTTCAATGCAATGCCCTCGTGTTCCATGCAATGCCCTCGTGTTCCATGCAATGCCCTCGTGTTCAATGCAATGCACTCGTGTTCCATGCAATGCCCTCGTGTTCAATACAATGCACTCGTGTTCCATGCAATGCACTCGTGTTCAATGCAATGCACTCGTGTTCCATGCAATGCACTCGTGTTCCATGCAATGCACTCGTGTTCCATGCAATGCACTCCTGTTCAATGCAATGCACTCGTGTTCAATGCAATGCACTCGTGTTCAATACAATGCACTCGTGTTCCATGCAATGCACTCGTGTTCCATGCAATGCACTCGTGTTCCATGCAATGCACTCGTGTTCCATGCAATGCACTCGTGATCAATGCAATGCACTCCTGTTCCATGCAATGCACTCGTGTTCAATGCAATGCCCTCGTATTCAATGCAATGCACTCGTGTTCCATGCAATGCCCTTCTGTTCTATGCAATGCACTCGTGTTTCATGCAATGCACTCGTGTTCCATGCAATGCCCTCGTGTTCCATGCAATGCCCTCTTGTTCGATGCAATGCACTCGTGTTCCATGCAATGCCCTCGTGTTCCATGCAATGCACTCGTGTTCCATGCAATGCCCTCGTGTTCAATGCAATGCCCTCGTGTTCCATGCAATGCACTCGTGTTCCATGCAATGCCCTCGTGTTCCATGCAATGCACTCGTGTTCCATGCAATGCACTCGTGTTCCATGCAATGCACTCGTGTTCCATGCAATGCACTCGTGTTCCATGCAATGCCCTCGTGTTCCATGCAATGCACTCGTGTTCCATGCAATGCCCTCGTGTTCAATGCAATGCC